TAATCAGAAAAGCTGTTGAAATCATTTTGTTTATATGCATTTATAAACTAGAGATACATTTTGTCGGGGTGGTTATCTGCACATGTTTGGAGAACGCAGTTCGAATTGCATTTCAGACTGCATGTGTTCCTATCGCACTGATGTTCTTGGTAAAGATAAGTACCACGTTCCTAGCCTCTATCCAAATATAAGCTACATTGTCAAGATAATTATACGAAATAATTATGTTTAGAAATTTTTATAATATAAACTGACAGAATTCCTGAAATAAATTAAAAGCCCACATAAGTGTAGGCGCATTTTCATCATAATTTCCCTTTATATTCCATTTGTAATGAGGAACTTCCACTGAGACAACTTCTTCCCCAGAACTGTTATCTTGTAGAAGAGACTCCGGAAATGATTTTTTTTTTGATCACTACGATCTTAATCATTTCAAATTTAGTGTAAACCGTTATTTATCCTGCATATCTTCATAATATGAACTTCTTATTTTTTTCAACCTTATTCAGCAGCTCTCTACCTTGAGTGACTCTTGGGCCAGGAATTGGTTGAGCAATGGCAAAAATAGCATGTTGAATCCACACTAAGTAACCCAATGTTAAGGCCTTGATACAGATTAAGTGAATGTTGAAAACACCCATTTCTACGGCGTAATAAATTTGAACCCCTTTGTGTACCCATCAATTCCAACGTGATGGCAAATTAAACCAATAAACTTAAGTAAATGTATACTTCTATCCAATTATGTATGATGTGGTTTTGCGGTTAGGATCTTAACTACCCGAACTATTGATAACAAAAATACACACATGATAAATAAAGAATTGTAAATGAATCCATAAAGGAATATCGTAAAAGTAATTATTAAGCATAAAAAAAGCAAAATTCAGTATTCACTTCGCTTCAATTAATTACTGATTCATAATATTAAAACCCCTTTATCAATAATATGGTTAATAAAAATCCTGTATAATATAGTTTTCCAGGTATATTAATACACATTATCCCCAGAATATAAAGATAGGGATTAATGCGTTAGTCACACCTTTTACTTAAATTCCTTAATAGCAAATTCTATAGGTTGACTGTTAATGCGCAGGTTTCGTAATGTTTCCTTAGCGGACCGTTTCTCTTAGAATATTTCATATATTTAGCTTACAGTGGGAAAATCAGTGTGATGTAATGCTTAGCAAGCTTGTGTCGCTAAAACAGTTACGACTGGAGAGTGAGTTCGATCCTTACTGGGAGCTCCATACTTTCGGCCTTGTGCCACATCTAAGCTACGATTGGAAAATTGCTATACTTAGCTTTGGTTAAATATTAAGTAAACCATAATGTTCTTAGCTTGCATGATATAAGGATTTTTTTTCTCGCCAGACTTGTCTTGTATAAAAGATAACTTAATCTTACAAATTCAGGTGCCCCTTGTAAGTATTCTACATAAATTAGTACTAATAATTAGACTGGCACATGACTATTTTACTGGGTCCATTCGAGCAAAAGTATATGGCTATATGGCATACCTACATGACAGTGTTTGGTAATATTATCTCTAGTTTAATAACGTTGGTTATTCACAAACCTTATTTTAGTTTCTCTACATGTATGTGGTACCCAGTGAGAATCGATCACGTTACTCATTAGTAAGGATCTAAGAAGTCTGCATTCAATTGTCCGGTTTAAAAACCTACCCGCTTTTTTTGAACAGGAGTAACAGTTCATCCCTTGTTTTCTGTTTAGAATTGAGATTTTAATTCCTTCTAAAATCTTCTCATTCTCATTCACTCTCAGCAGCCCCTTGAGTCTTGGTGACATTATCGCTTTGCTTAGGGTGAACCGATTTTTTTAAGAAAATGTTTAGCAAGATGTTTCTGCTAACCAACACTCCCCAGCAAGGCAGCTAATACATATTAAACTTGCCGTCACGCAGCGGATTTTATACAGTCTGTTTACAGGGTTGAAACCACACACACACACCACACACACACACACACATACATACATACATACATACATACACACACACACACACACACATATATATATATATATATATATATATATATATATATATATATATATATATATATATATATATATATATTGATTTGAGTTTGTGACACAGGGTTTCAAGCACTTTGCGATTGTTAAAGAGCGTGAAACCCAGGGTCACAAACTCACATCAACGAAATTAAATCTGTTACCACTATCACTGATATTGAGCGCTTTCCAATAAGTACCGCAAACACCCACCACACACACACACATATATATATATATATATATATATATATATATATATATATATATATATATATATATATATATATATACAAATGGAAATATTTGAAGTCTGAGCTCCAGTCATAGCTTGTGCAGCTGGTGAAGCTTTGCCTTGTTTGTAATTACTACTGCGAATGAATTATTAATGAGCACCTCGCAGACCGGTTTGACAGTTGTTGAAGCAACGGCCTTCTCCTTGGTAATGCGTTAAAGTGCAATGAAACATGCAAATCAGAGTGAGGGATTTGCATAAATCTTCACTAATCGGCCTCACAGTGATAGCAGCTGCTGGCCTGTCAGCTTGGAGGACATAATGCAGCCACAGGAACCAAAAGTTGAGGAACGCTTCGCTCTGAAAGAATGGTATATAAAGGATTCTCCCCGGTAATTACTTCCAGATTTAGTTCAATCCTAGCTTTTTTTCCCTATCTACGCTGGGTAAATTCTCACAAAGCGCCCGGAATGATTATATTCTGAATACAGATATGACACAACAGAAATCAAATTATGCATTTGGAATCTTTTATAAAAACGCACATAAATATATATACTTGACGGGAAATGCAGCATTGCAATCCGAAGGCGCATTGGTATAGTCAAAGATGATTTTAAAAAAATAAGCAAAGTATTAAGAGAGAGGAAAATTTCGTCAGAAACAAAAAAAAGGGTCCTGAATTGTTATATCCCCGCTACTATATTGTAATGAATACTCAACAATCTAAATTCAAATGTAAAAAACGAGTTGATGCAACTGAAATGTGTATCTACAGAAGGATGCTGAGGATTCCGTGGAATGAATATTTTAGAAACGACGAAAATTTAGAGAGAATGGAAAAAAAGGACAAACATTTCTAGGCGACATAACGAGGAAAGTAGGTTTAGTAAATGTGTCACACACAGGACATACTAAAGGCAAGAGGGATAGAAAATAAAATTTGCTAGCAAATAAATAAATTGTGGAGAGTTATGAATGATATCACGGTACATGAAAGAAGATAACTTACATGTGAAAAGTGCCTAATAAAATAGGTGAAATACGCATTAGTTGTACCGTTTCTGCATTATAATATTTTATCAGTCTTACAAATGTCCGATTATAATAAAATACTTTGTTACTGTTTGTCCTGGGTATGACGATTAACTACAACTGGCAGCAAGGCTTACGATCGGGAGGCTCTGAGCGGCGTGGAAGAACATTTTAATTGACCCTAGGTTTTAACTGACCCTGAGTGGTAGCACCTTAGGGCCTAAGCTATAGGCAAATAGTTACCTCCCAAACTGGCGTCCAAACATTATGAAAGTACAAAATAGATTTTTATAGTAAAATTACTAGCAATACAATCTGAAGAAAAAAAATGTTACTAGCATTACATTGGACGCTTGACAAAAACACTCTATACACAAATACGTCCACGAAACCTGGTTCTTACAAAGAATACATATTCTAATCATACCGACATATTCTAAAAATCTTGTCGGGATTAAATAACTCAATTAGGTGATATCACGTAAAGCAATGCCAAACAACTTATTTTTTCTACATTATTAACATACTTTATTTAGTTTTAATTACTATTTTACATAATTTAAAAAAATAATGAATATATATATATATATATATATATATATATATATATATATATATATATATATAGTCTTAAAGTGTGCTATATTTATGGGATAAAGTTCTCAATATCAGAGACAGAGCGTATGTAAATATAAAACTGAATATTGAAATCAATACTTAGAGGCGACAGGCTGTTTGACGCTAGACGCAATTGTCAGTCCTGACGCTGGCGTCTAGCATGAAACACCATGTCGCTTCTAAGTGTTGACTTCAATGTTCACTTTTATAAATATACATTAGATTATATATTAGCTGAATAAGTACTTCTTTTCTAATCTATTTAGATATAATTTACTAAACGTATATATTATCATGGGGAGTTGATTGCCTACTATCGCGAAACGAAACGCAAGTTATGACGGGAGTAATAAGACGTCGGTATGTGATTACGTGATGTCAGTGTACAAGTGCCAAATTATGGTTCTTTTTCATTTCGTGGTCAATTTGGCTTTGTTTTTCCGGGAAAAAGGTATTTTTAAATAATTTGTTTTCCTTATATTCTTTCGCTTGCTCACAGGAATAATCTTACTGGCTGTTCTAGCAGACTCGTTAGTTGACACAGACAACATTGGAATCGAATGTCTTCTTTCGGCCTCATCAGTGATATTAAACTATAGACAAAAATGGCAGAATTCTGGCCAGTGACATTTCGACATTTTCCAAAATATCCCTACAATGTTGAGTCTTTCATGATTGATTAAATGATAAATATAATAGAGCTTTCGCCTTTGGAATACATAAACTTTCTATTTTAAATAAACACAGACTTCTCAGAGACTAATTGTTAACAAGAAGGGGAACCTGAATAAATGATGGAGACGGCAACTAAAAATATTTCTTTGATATAATGGAAAGGATTCTGTCATATAATATGTAGGATGATAGAGTTTTATGCATTTGAAAGAATCAGGATGAAATTCGAATCAAGGAATTCTTAAATATAGAAAATTCTCTGATAACTATTAATATAGATTTACAAGCAAATATTTTCATATAATTGGCAAGACGACAGACAGAAGAATATATAAATATGGTTGGCGGAACGGGATTCAAGAAGAATATAAAATACTATTGCAGGAAGAGATTTCTAGAGGATGACGAAGAATATATAGATAGAATTTGCCGAACAGAGTTTAAGAGGAAGACGAAGAATATATGAATACTGTTGGCGGGAGAATGTTCGAAAGGAAAAGAAATAAAAATAAATACTGGTGGCAGAATTGTGTTCAAGAAGAAAAAGAAATATAGATAAATACTGTTAGCAAAATTGTGTTCAAGTGGAAAAAGCAATATAGGTAAATACTGTTGGCAGAAGAGTGTTCAAGAGGAAGATGAAATATAGATAAATACTGTTGGAAGAATTGTATTCAAGAGGAAGATGACATATAGGTAAATACTGTTGGAAGAATTGTATTCAAGAGGAAGATGACATATAGGTAAATACTGTTGGAAGAATTGTATTCAAGAGGAAGATGACATATAGGTAAATACTGTTGGAAGAATTGTATTCAAGAGGAAGATGACATATAGATAAATACTGTTGGAAGAATTGTATTCAAGAGGAAGATGACATATAGGTAAATACTGTTGGAAGAATTGTATTCAAGAGGAAGATGACATATAGATAAATACTGTTGGAAGAATTGTATTCAAGAGGAAGATGACATATAGGTAAATACTGTTGGAAGAATTGTATTCAAGAGGAAGATGACATATAGGTAAATACTGTTGGAAGAATTGTATTCAAGAGGAAGATGACATATAGGTAAATACTGTTGGAAGAATTGTATTCAAGAGGAAGATGACATATAGGTAAATACTGTTGGAAGAATTGTATTCAAGAGGAAGATGACATATAGGTAAATACTGTTGGAAGAATTGTATTCAAGAGGAAGATGACATATAGGTAAATACTGTTGGAAGAATTGTATTCAAGAGGAAGATGACATATAGGTAAATACTGTTGGAAGAATTGTATTCAAGAGGAAGATGACATATAGGTAAATACTGTTGGAAGAATTGTATTCAAGAGGAAGATGACATATAGATAAATACTGTTGGAAGAATTGTATTCAAGAGGAAGATGACATATAGGTAAATACTGTTGGAAGAATTGTATTCAAGAGGAAGATGACATATAGGTAAATACTGTTGGAAGAATTGTATTCAAGAGGAAGATGACATATAGGTAAATACTGTTGGAAGAATTGTATTCAAGAGGTAGATGAAATATTGTTGTGGTAGGATCCACCTAATTTGCATAGTGGAGTACCGACCATTTAAATATGGTTGGTACCGGAAAGAGAGGGAGGAATCAAGAGATTCAACCAGAGATTCTTCCGACTGCGACTCAGTCAACACATTCTCCAGGAACGGTCTTACCAGGAATATACAAAAGACTATATGTAAATATTGTGTACACTTTCCTGTTCAATACATTTTGTTCTAAGTACATTTTGTGTTGCATTATTATTCCTTGCATTAGTCAAGTTTCAACAAATATAGATAAATACTGTTAGTAGAAGAGTATTAAAGAGAAAGATTAAATATAGATTAATACTGTTGGCAGTATAGTGTTCAAGTGGAAGAGGAAAATATTGATAAGTAGATTTGGCAGAAGAGTATAGAAGAGGAAGATGATATATAGCTAAATACTGTTGTGAGAATAGTCTTCAAGAGGATGATGAAATATAGTTGAATAGTGTTGACTGAAGAGTATTCAAGAGAAAGAACGAAATATAGATAAATACCTTTGGCAGAAGTGTGTTCAGTAGGAAGGCAAAGTATAGATAAACACTGTTTGCTGATTATTGTTCGAGAGGAAAAAGAAATAAATATAAATACTGTTGACAGAATAGTATTCAAGAGGAAAACGAAATATAGATAAATACTGTCGGCAGAATAGTGTTCAAGAGGGAGATGAAATATAGATAAATACTGTCGGCAGAATAGTGTTCAAGAGGGAGATGAAATATAGATAAATACTGTCGGCAGAAAAAGTTTTAAGAAGAAGACGAAATATAGATAAATACTTTTGGCAGAATTGTGTTCAAGAGGGAAAAATATAGATAAATACTTTTCGCAGAAGAGTATTCAAGTGGAAGATGAAATGTAAATAAATACTCTGGCAGAAGAGTGTTCAAGAGGAAAAAGAAATAGATGTTGGCAGAATAGTGTTCAAAAGGAAGACGGAGAATATATAGTTACTGTCGGCAGAACAGGACTCAAGAGTGCGATGAGGAATATCAAAATGCATTTGACGGAAGAGTGTTCAGGAGCAAGACGAACTATATATATATTTACTGTTGGCAGAACAGGAATCAAGAGGATAATGAATAATATAAAAAGTGCTGTTGGCTGAAAATTGTTCAAGATGAAGACGAAGAATAGATAAATACTATTGACTGAACAGGTTCTAAGAAGAAGACTAAGAATATATAAATACAGTTGGCGGAAAAGTCTTCACGAGTAAGGCTAAGCGTAGATAAATGCAGTTGTCGGACGAGTGTTCAAGAGAAAAACGAAGATTATATAAATACCTTTGGCAAAACAGGGTTTAAGAGGATGACGAAAATATATAATTAAATTTGGGGGAAGATACTTCAAGAGGAAGACGAAAAATATTTAAATAGTTTTGACGGAAAAGTGTTCAAGAAGCAGAGGAAGTAGTATATATATATATATATATATATATATATATATTATCGGCGGAAGAGTATTTAGGATAAATAAAAAGAGAAATGTTATTAAAAGCCACAGGTAGCTACGCGTAGTTGTAGAGATCAATGACCGCCTACGTCTTGAGGGGTCGCTTCACATAAACTAGAAGAACTGTAATTGTAATCCACTTACCTGGAAGTGAATCCTGAATAATATTTTAAGTTATCTCATTGCATGTACACACAGATAGATTTCTTCAAGTCCCCTTCGATTATATTGTAACTTGATGCTGACATTTCTCTACCGAATATGTAACCTAAATTGTATGTATTCTAAAGTTTGCCAAAAATGTTTTCTCAACCCGATAACGTTGATGAGTTGCAGTTGCTATTGTGGAAGGTCTGACTAAACGAATATACACACAGATGGTGCTTGGTTTTTGACAATTTATATGGGGATAATCTCGTTACAACGTTCACACTTTGTTGATTTCTATAAGCGCAGTTCAACCGGCGACTTTTGCGGTTAAAGTTTTCAAAAATGTCTAGCTGGGTGGTTCATAACGAGTAAGCATTACTCGTTATGAATGCAAACTAGGCTAGCACATATGTTTACTCATGTCATGTAATTTTTCTCTTCAGTATTCCTAAATATATATATATATATATATATATATATATATATATATATATGTTTCGTTGAATAATTTAGGCAATGTCTGTCTGCTTATTTTCAATTGTATTATTTCGTATTTACGAATAACCTATTTGGTGTCGTTATTGAAATTCAACAAAACAATTCTCGATGATAATAGCATGCAAACTATAGGTATATATATATATATATATATATATATATATATATATATATATATATATATATATATATATATATATATATATATATATATATATATATATATATATATATATATATATATATATATATATATATATATATATAGAGAGAGAGAGAGAGAGAGAGAGAGAGAGAGAAAGAGATGTGCAAATATGTAGAAAAATAGGAAAAGAACTCGTTAGGTAAATATTCCGGGGTTCTTTAGTATTTTTGTTTTTATTTTTAAAAAACAGTGCACCATACAGAAGTAGAGCTATGATTATAATTATTTTTTTTAAATATGATTCCTTTGCTACATAAGAGTTCTCATGTTTCAAAAACAAGAGCCAAAAACGTCAATATAATTATTGAAATTAAATTGAATTAAAGTATCAAGACTTGTTTCATCATCAAGCGAAAATTTAGGAATAACCAATCTTGAAATTCACGCGTCGTTATAAGCATGTTCATTCGCAAAATTAATTACTATACAAACTACCATTATGAAAAGAGGTCAAAACAAAGAAAGACGGTAGGGGTGTACATATCAAAGCAAATGATGGCATTCATTTACGCACATAGTCTGGTCAATAACAGCGACAGATACGTCTTTAGCTGTTTAGAGAATTTTATTTTATTTATTTATTTAATTTCAAAAGGGCTGTTTCCTACATAAACGCGCCGTACTGAACTACAATTTGTTTTTTGACGACTTCATAAAGGGTTTTGCTATCTTATGATTGGTTTAAGCTTTTAAGCCTTTTATTATAAAGGGCACAGGTCCTCCGGGGTTTTATACGTTCTTGTTGTATTTATTATTTTCCATTTTACATTTGATGTTTTATTTATTTCTTTTAAATGCCAAAAAAAATGGCATAGAGATGTCTGGTTTC